CCAAAAATTAAAATTCAAAAAAGTTAAAAATAGGCTATATTACTTTAAATACTTATACTCCAATTTCACTGTTCAATAAACAGCATATCCTTGGTGATGGACAAGGATCCAAGTGCTGTATGTAGCTCCAGTCCATTCTCATATCCCAAGACAGGTCAAGGTCTATAAAGTCAAATAACAGCCAGTGGTCCTTTCAATTCTACCCACTCAGATCACTGGAATAAAGTGTATTAAACAACAAACTGATCCAAACAGATGAAGTCAATGTGTTGATTCATTTAAATCTGGAAAATTGCCACCTATTCATTCTCTCTACTTTCTCTTCATTAGGACTTGAGGCCAGGAGACGTATCTGGCAAGCGGAACCTCTGGGAAAAGCAGTCTGTGGATAAGGTCACTTCCCCCACTAAGGTAATCTACTGGGAGAACTCGTGTTTCAGATATCTATTTCCTGATGAATCTTGCAGTATAATGTCCTGGGGTCAAATGAGAAATCTGTACCTCATGACCACCCATTTCTAAAGATCCATGCGTGGTGCAGGGAAGAGCCTTTGGCATTATAGGATTGTCCGTCACACAGTGTCAAAAGCCTGAGCTCATAGAATGGTTTCCAGGAAGACATTCTAGATATACCATAGTGGTCGGAAGGTTGGCAGAGCTGCATGGGACAACCACAGTATCCATTTCTTTGCAAGGTCCTGGCTTGGCACCACAGTTATTCAGAGAAAACAGATCACTTAGAGGAAAATGACTATCTCCCCGAGTGGTTCCCAAGCTGCTTTCTAGAACCATTCTAAGAGACTTTGCCAGTAGCCTCAGACTCAAAGTTTCTATGATAAAAAAACTAATATTCATAAGTAAGGCAGAATTTGCTAGTTATGAGAGCTAATGGCTAAAAATGCTTTGATTTCTTTTACCCTTTGTCTTCTGGGCAAAAGAGTTACTCATTCTTTAACAAAGGGAATTTGGACAATATCATCTGAAGGCTGCTTGGACTACAAGTGGACCTCTTGTTGTACAAGGAGCTAATTCAACTCTTAATTGTAGCCCTTCTCTATTTAAGAAAGAGACCCAGTCTTCTTTAATAAAAAAAAAATTTTTTAAGAAAGAAATCAGAGGCAAACAATAAACAAGATTAGAACAATCTATCTGCTTATGGGTTCGTGCAGAAGTCCAGCAACAGAAGCTTTCTTAAGCAAAAAAACTTAGGACTAAAAATCACATCAAAGACACCTAAAAAATCATTAGTGCTTGCTGAAATTAGAGAAATGTTAGTTTTTTCCTACTTTTACAGGCTCTTAAAGCTGGTGCCTAAGTATATTACTTCATCTTCTTATTAGTTATATATGGCCCTTTTGTTCCAGTAAAATCCACTGGCCCAACCTCTCTATTTAAAGTGACTTCTAAGTCCAGTTTTCCAAATGATCTCTAAATATCCTAAAAATGACTAGTAATCATGATGACCAATACAAACTACTAACACTAAAAGAGTATCCACTGGTCTGGGCACCGTTAATATCTCATTCAATCCTCCAGCCAGTATGTGAGGTAAATAGTAGCATTATTCCTATTTTATAGCTGAGCAAAATGAGGCACTGAGGGATTATAACTTTCCTAAAGATGCACAGCAAACAAGTAGCAAAACCTGGATTGATACTCAAGCAGTATGATCTGAGATTGCGGTCTTAACCATTATGCATAACACTTTCTTTTGAGGATGTGTATTCAGCAAAAAATGTAAAGTTTTTTTTTTAACTCCTGCATGATTTTCTACTAGTGGCGGGAGAGAAGATAAATTTTTGTTTTTTATACAAAGAATGAGTTTATTGGCCCAAACCTCTATGACTCCTGACAAAGATCTGACCTTTCAGAAGTGGCAATCCAAGGGAGTGTACAGCCTCCCTTCTGAGTCAGGGATGCTAGCTGTCCACAGAGTCCACCCTCATAGGTATAGTGGAGTCCCTTGGGACATGTTCCTTTTAGCCAGAGCTCTGGAAAGTAGAGCAAGATGGTTTGGAATGACAGGACTCTGAGAACACCGCTCACTCACACACAGTTCAGCATGAAGGCTCCTCCCTGGAATTGTGCAACATGGGGCACAAAGCAGGAGGGTACACAGTTTTCACACACACTGCCCCCTTCTCCCTGGTCCATACCACTGAACTCCTACAACAATAAGAAGAAGAATAGAACTGCCAGACCCAGAAGCATACTTTGTAATGCAGTGGATTAGGTAGCTCTGCTCCAAAATGTCAAACTCAGTGTTTTTCATGCACTTGTTCCTTTGAAATTAAAATGCACAGCATATTGCAGACAGGAATTCACAGTGTGTTAGTTTCTGTTCATAACATAGCAAGAGTCTTTAGCAGCTAAATGAGAGGGAAGAAAGATGGAATAATAGGACCATGGGTCAGGGAAGTCTGAGGGCCGGGGATGTAAGAAAAGGAGTGAGAAAATACATATTTCTAAGTGGGAAAAATGGGAGAAACCCAACAATAACTCCACCATTGCATGTGGACATGGCCTTGACTGAGATGTATGTCTATTCTACAGTGTGCTAGAAATTCCTCACCCTTACACTGAAGCTTTAAAAAAAAAAGTCTCCTGGACTATGAGTGCCATGAACAAAACCTAAGACTAAGATAAGAAAATCAAACAAAGAGGAAAAAGAAAGGAAAAAAGAAGAGGGAGAGTCCACAGAAGAAAGGATATAATGAAAGATCAAATTTGAATAGAATGCCTATCTTAATCCCATCCTTTCATAAATATTAATTCCTGCCATGCTATAATTCTTTTTTTCTGACAAAAACCATCTGGCTGGAACACTCTAGGCTGCCAATTTAAAGTTCTCTTCTCTTAGCAGGTTTGAAACAGTTCGAGAAAAACCCAAGCTCAAGACGCTGGACCAGCTCACTTGTAGAGGGCTAATTGCTCTGTTTTATATTTATGTTGATTTACTAAATTGGATTCATTTTCTTTTGTTTTGTTTTTCATTATCCCAATAAACCCATGTATATGATCACTATATTTAATAGTCACATCTAGAGATGCTCATGGCCAACTTTGCACAGGAGCCAGTTTCGAAAGAGACCCGTGCTGTGAAATAAGAGACTTTTCTACTGTTCACTAGAACCCCTTGTCTGAAGAGGGATACCAACCACAGCGGAAGTCAGCAAAGGGAGATTCAAGATTAAGATTGCCTGAGGAATGTGTGCAGTGTCTAGAAAAATGAACCATAGTTTTCTAGAAAAATGAACCATAGGTTTTTTTATTCATACAGAAGTGACATTGTTTCTGCACTTTAGAATAAAGCATGGAAGAAATTATCTAAAGTAGGCAATTGTAACTGTTTCTGAAATAACCCATATCAGATTTGATATACGGCAATAATGATTGTCTTTTTTTAAAAAGAAGATGTACTAAGGTATTACTTTTTTTCATGCTGATTCATATCTAAGTTGGATTATTATTTTAGCTGACAGTGGTACTGATTTTTTTAGGTTGGTTGCTTTGTGGATTTCTTTGGTAGTGATAGTGCCTGAACCACATTTTAGATTACTCAATTATGTATGTATGTGCATACACATATACAAACACACTAATGGTAGAAAGCTTTTTCATGTGCTAGACTATTATATTTAGTAGTATGTCCTTGTAACTAGCCAATATCACAGCTTTTTAAAAATTAAAAATCACAATATTATATTAATATTTCGTATTTGCCAATAGAAACATGGCAGATAGGTATCGATATGTTTTCAATGACCTGTAATAAAAAATACTTCAACAAAGAGAGATAAGAAATGTCAAAAATGAGTTGAAATTTTCTATAACATAGTATTTAGTTTATAACTAAAGGCAATCTTGAAGTCCAGCGTGAATTGTGTTAAATCTATCATCTGAATCAAGCTCAAAGCCTGCTTATTTGTAACAATAAAATTCACAGTAAGTTGGCCTACATGATACCTAAGACCTATTCCTTCACTAAAATGTAAAGACAAGAATTTCAGTGGTAGTATTACACAGACTGGAATTCTGCATAGAGGTCTAAGCAAAGGCTGACTCTGGTTCATGTTTAGAAGCAAATAAGTGAATAAAATCCAATGTTGAGGAAGCATGACAGTATTTCCATCTCTATATACTCTGCAACTTTTTAAATTAAACTTTTCTACCTTTCTTAATCATTGGTACTTGTTATAAGTTCATAATGTGTTGAAATTTCAAACAATAGGTGTTAATTTTATGAGTTTTGCTTTTCCCCAAGAGTCATTACTGATTCACTATTTTTGTACATACATAATCCAGGCATCAGATCTTATTTTATTTTAACCTGCAAGTCTTTCACAATAGATGATGGAAGAGGACTCCAGTGTTTTGGCAAAATATCCTAGGATAGACAACACATACAGTGTCATTATATAAACTCATACCTAATTTGTCAAAAATTGCCTTTGACTCATTCCCTACCACACTGACAGGGCCTCTTAAATAACTGATCCACACTTTTTCTCCCAAAAAGCTAGCTTGTGCAGAGCTGACTTGAGGAGTAACCACTCCTTTCTAAAGTCCATTTCCCCTTAATCAGGAAAGACTGGTGGAATCCCGTCTTTTAGCAAACCTGGGCCCACAGAAGATAACCCACCAAGATTGCGTACACATTCCCAGCCACCTATGACAGAGTAGACACAAGTCTATAATAAGATAAACTAGGATTTACATAAAGCACCTGTGTAAATGACTACCGTCACTGGAGTGAGATGGATCAATTGCATTGTCAATGGTGACAGAACATTGCTCTGTTGAGCTTTTGAATAAGAGCATCTCCTGGCCACTATCACATATTCCTCCAGAAAGTCTGAAGTTAAGAAGAGAATGTATTGATCCTGACTTCTATTCCGATATTTGGATGGAATAAGTTTTAAAGTAGAATTCTGTTCAATTCAGATTTATAATCTTTTGAAAAGCAAATTCCTTGTTACCTGTTCAGTTACAATTCTGTTATCATTAAGAGATCAAACTGCAAGTCGACTAGCGTATTCTGTGAATCTGCCATTAAAAATGTTATAAACACTTGATAATTTTCACTGATAATTGATCGCTGCAATGAAATATATTGTGAAAATGCATCCACAATAAATGGAATTCCTCCAAATGTTGTTGCCTCCCATATTTTTATGTACGATACTGGTTGCAAGAGGCGTGTCTGTTGAAATAAAGATGATGGTGTAGAAATCCTATAGTTCATGCTGAGTGTTGGTTTCACACTTTAAAGAATATATGCATTTTCATATGTTTAAATGCTTCTTATTACAGGTAAACTTTTTAAATTAAGTTTATTGGTACAATGAAGATATACATAATGATCACATTTATCATAGGGAATTTGTACTTGAACATACCTTGATTCCTCTTTTTTCCCCATTCCTCTCCCCTCCCTTCAACCCCTCTTCCTTCCTTATTTGCAACGCTTTCTTTCCATTTTATTCTTCTTTTCTTATTTTTCTTTCCCTTCCATCCTTTCCCCTTCTCCCCTGCCTGGTTCCCCTTCCTTTTGAACAATGTCCTATTTCATAGTATCTATTATGCATTTTAGTCCTTATTTACAGTCAGTTTCTCACACCAGAGAAACAATGCAACAATTTATTTCATTTAAGAATATGGTCTCAAGGTACATCCATTTACCTAGAAATATCTCAAGTATATCCTTCTTTATGGCAGAGTAGTACCACATTGTATATATTTTTTAAATGTATCCATTCATTGATTAATGGGCATTTGGGTTGTTTCCAAGATTTAGTTATTACAAACTATGCTGCTATACACATGGGTGGTATAAACATAGGGAATCTCCATACTGATTTCCACAGTGGTTGCACCAGTCTAAGCTCCCACCAATAGTGGAGAAAGGTTCTTTTTTCCCCACAGACCCTCCAGCATTTGTTGTTGGTTGATTTCTTGATAACAGCCATTCTTTCTGGAATGAGATGAAATCTCAGTGTTGTTTATAATTTGCATCTCTTGATGACCAGTGATGTGGAATTACTTTGATGAATTTATTTGCCATTTCTATGCACCTGAGAAGGGCCCATTTTTTAATTGGATCTTTAAATTTGGGGGGGGTCTGATTTTTTTGAGTTCTTTATATGTTCTAGATATTAGTCCTTTGTCTGAAATACAACTGGCTAAAATTCTTTCCCATGCTGTGGGTTGTCTTTTCACTCTGTTGGTGATTTCTTTTGTTGCTCAAAAGCTTTTTAATGAGATCCCAGTTGTTGATTCTTTGTGATATTTCCTGTGTGATCAGGATTGTGATTCATGAAGTCTTCAAGAATTTCACCTATTATATCTTCCAGCAGATTTACTGTTTCTGGTTTTTATTTTTTGTTTCTGTGTTTTGTTTTTTGGTACCGGGATCAAAATCAGGACCTTGCCCTTGTGAGACTGGAAGCAGCACTACTGAGCTAAATCCCTGGACCTTAGCATTTCTGATTTTATATTTATATCTTCCACCTATTTTGGTTTTAGTTTAATGCATGGTGAGAGACATGGGTCTAGTTTTAGTCTTCAGCATATGGAAAGCCAGTTTTTCCATTTATTAAAGAGTCTATCTTCCATAAAGATGTTTTGCTCCTTTGTCAAAAATAAGGTGGCTGAGTGTATTTGAGATTATTTCTGCATCTTCTAATCTGTTCCATTGATCCTCAGCTGTTTTTTGTTTTATTCTTTGGTTTTTTCCACTACCATGCTGTTTTCATCCCAGTAGCTTTGTAGTATAATTTCAAATCAGGGATGGTGATGTCCGCTGCCTTGCCTTTGCTGCCCAGAGTTGCTTTTGCCATTCTAGGTCTCTTCTGGCTCCAAACAAATTTTGGGAATGTATTGTCTAGTTTTGTGAGGTATGATTGGGATTGCATTAAATCTGTACAACAATTTTGGAATTATAACCATTTTCATTATGTTCTTATCCAAGAACAAGGGATGTTATTCCATTTTCTGATATCCTCTTCCGTCTCCTTTTTCACAGTACTATAATTTTCAATGTAAAGGTCTTTTACTTCCTTTGTTAGATTAATTCCTAGGTATTTCATTTTTTTCTCGATGCTGGTGTGAAAAGTGTTGTTTGCCTAATTTCTCTCTCTGAGTTTGTTATTTGTGTACAGGGATGCTATTGATTTTTGAGTATTGACTTGTATCCATCTATGCTACTGAATTAGTTTAGTAAGTCTAGAAGTCTTTTGGTGGAGTTTTTGGAGTCTTCTTTGTAGAGTATCATGTCATCTGCACGTAATGATAATTTAACATCCTCCTTTCCTGTCCTTATTCCTTTTCTTTCTGTCTGTTTCCAGAATTGTATTAATTTAAATAAGAGTAGTGATAGTGGACATCATTTTCTTGTCCTGATTGTAGAGTGAAAGCTTTCAGTTTTTGACCATTTAGTATGATATTGGCTGTTGGTTTGTCATAGATGGCTTTTATCAAATTGAGCTAAAGATCATCTATTCCAATTTTGAATAGCGTTTTTATCATGAATAGCTGTTGGACTTTTTCTAATGCTCTTTTTGCATCTATTCATATGATTTCCCGCACCCCTTTGGCTCTGTTGATATGTGCACTACATTTATTGATTTGCATGATTTGAAACATCCCTACATCCCTAGGATGACTCCTACTTGGACATGAAATATAATCTTTTTGATGATTTGCTGCATTCTGTTTGCCAGTGTCTTATTGAGGATTTCTGCATTTATGTTCATTAGAGAAATTGGCCTGTAGTTCTCTTTTGGTTGACCCTTCTCTGGTTTTGGTATCAAGATAATACTTGTTTTCAGGAATGATTTTGGGAGTATTGCTTCCCTTTCAATTTCATTAAAAAGAGTTTAAAGAGTAGTGGCATTTGATCTTCTGTAAATTTCTTGTAGAATTCAGCAGTGAAACCATCAGGTGTGAGATTTTCTTTATTGGTAAGTTTTAATTATATTTTCAATTTCATTGACTGTTATTTAGAATGTTTTATATCTTCTTGATTCAGCTTTGGTAATTCATATGTATCTGGGAATGTGTCCATTTCCATCTTATTAGAGTACAGGTTCTAGAAGTGGATATTGATGATCTGGATTCCCACAGAATTGATTGTGATTTCACCCTTTTCATTCCTAATTGCATCAATTTGAGTCTTTCGTTTTCTTTTTTTTTTTTTTTTTTTTTTTTTTTTTTTTTTTTTTTTTTTTTTTTTTTTTTTTTGGTAAGGTTAGCTAAGGGTTTATCAATATTGTTTAATCTTTCAAAGAACCAACTCTTCATTCATTCTTTCTATTGTTTTCTTAGTCTCAATTGCATTAATTTCTGCTCTGATGTTTATAATTGTTCTGATCTTTATAATTGTATCCCTTGCATGTGCTTTGGGCTTGATATGTTCATCTTTTTCTAGACATTTGAGGTTCTACATTAGTTTATCTGAACTCATTTTTTTTTTCCTGATGTTGGAATTTACCTCTATAAATTTCCATTTTAGGACTGTTTTCATTTTGTATCCTAATGTTGTATCAGCATTATTATTTAATTGTAGGTAGGTACTGTTTAATTTTTTCTTTAATTTTATCTGTGACCCATTAATTGTTACAGGCACACTTGCAACAAAGTATTCAGAATTTCTGTGATGTGAACAACTGACCAGAAGTGTATGAAAAAGGTAGAAGAGGAATTTTTAAAACTCTTCTTAAACCAGGCATGGTGGTACATGACTGTAATCCCAGCCTTCTAGTAGGCTGAGGCAGGAGGATTGAGAGTTCAAGCCCATTCTGGGTAATTAAGCAATTTAGTGAGACCCTGTCTCAAAGCTAAAAAAATTAAAAATTAAAAAGTCTCAGAATGTAGCTCAGCGCAAAGGCCCTGAGTTCAATCCTCAGTGCTGAAAAATAATATTTTTTTCTTAAAAGTAAAACTGTCAGGCTGGGGATTTAGCTCAGTGGTTCTACTGTCTGTCTCACAAGCACTAGATCCTAAGTTTGATCTCAGGTGCCAAAAAAAAAGTAAAATTATCAAATGTTCCTGCGTCCCCCTTCTCATTCCTGGTATAGTCACATACCACCCCTCTCATTCCTAAGAGGCACAGTACTAGTTCCTCAGAGCTAATGTCTTATAGTAGAAACAGCCAGTAATTACATGCCATTCATGTATGCAATACTTATTACTAGTTGCAAGTATCTGATGATTATATTTGTATACAAAGATACATTTTTGTAGTGATATTGCATATTTATGTATCACTTACTGAGTCCTCATAAAAGCTTAAATGTCTGGAGCTCCTAAAAATCCCCCCAAATCCTTCCCATGAAATTGGTAGAATTAAGTAAGTTACTGTAAGAACAAAATAATATTTTTATTGCTATGCCCTAACAAGAAGGGTGATAACCCTCGACAATAAGTTGTCATCACTATTAATTTATAGTTAAGTAATGAAGAGTGCAATCTGTATTACTAGTGCCAAACTGATAAGATAGAATAAATGAAAATCAATTTTATGAGATATACACATTCAGTATATGAGCCTGAGAACATAGCACTATAGTCGCTTGTGTGATGTGGGAATAAAGGTTTTTTTCCTACACGTGCTTTTGCTGCAAGTGGAAGAATGGATAAGAAAAAGATCTTGTTATTAAGTAAGGGTGAGTTTGAAGACTGAGCTTTCTCTCTCACCTGGTCTTCACAGATTATCACCTAGCTTCAAGCCAAGGTGCAACTATATTATTCTAG